CTGGACAAGTCCCTAGCTGGCACATGCACCGGCCACAGCAGGGAGCTGGATTTTACCAGCATCGATGATGCAGTTAACATGCAGCCTCCTCATGTTGCCGTCTACGTCGACGGCTCAGAGGAATTTTTTCTCATGGTGAAGACTATCTCGCGACCAGACCTCATCCCCAAAGTCTTGGCCGAAGCAATCAAGGCCATGTCCCAGGGCCGGCCATATGTAAATATACAACGCACCTCAGACTTCAAAAAGGGCGCAGATCCTACTTTCTCCGACTTCCGCCCTATGCTGCCAGACATTGATCGCCTATGCGGAACTGATCTTGCCGGCGTCGTCGCCAGGCTCGAAGCTCAAGGCAAGCTGAGGGTTCCGTCCAGAGAGCAATTACGTGCCAGTACTGACATGGCACAGTCGCGCCTTTTCCCTTTTTGCGACTTCCAGCTGAGCTTCGCCTGCAGGTGTACTCGTACGTTCTGCCTGAACACCCTCGCGGTATTCTCCCGCCCTGGTGTCGCAAAAGCAATGGCCGACGCCTTGCTCTCATGCGCGTCAACAAGCAACTGCACAGTGAAGTGCGGAAACATTACTATGAGAATGTGAATTTCTTGATTGCAACCGTTTTCCAACTGGAAAACACGTCCTTATACGAAGACAACACCATTTCTATCCGCCAGTTAATAGAGAGTATGGATTCTAACATCTTTCCTCTGATCAAGCAGCTTTCTGTACGCATAAATGGTTCCTCGGTTCAGGAAACTCTTCGTACAGGGTCTAGATCGCCTCCATTTGCCTTAAAGTACATATTTGATACATTTCCAGGCCTTCAGCAACTCACTATCACGTTCGGTACCGCGCCCCGTTCTAACATGTGGGTGGGACAAGATCAGGAGTCTATCCAAGGCAAGTACATGGATGAGATGAAGACGCGCTTCATCAAATACATCCCGCCATCGATCAAAGTGTCTTGGTGGCACGAAGATGCAGCAAGATTCTTCAACAGCGACATGGTCGAGAAGTCCTTATGGAGCGCCATACAAGAGCGAGCATCAACATACACAGACGACAGCGTTAACACTTCATCTTGAATAATTCCCACTACACTCTATACCATTATGCGTACACGAATCCAAGCAAACCCCCCTACCCCAACAACGCAGCTGCCTTATAAATCTGATACACCGCCAACCCACTTCCAACTGCCCAAAAGCTACTCCTCACAAAACTCGTTGCGTGATCCGCAATCTGCACATACGACACTACGTACGCTGTCCTAACCGCAAACCACGCCGCCACAAATGTCGTCAGGCCCGTTGCATCACCAGACACTACTTCCCGTCCCAATCCCACGGCCGTCGTGCGCTCAGCAACGATGCTTGCGAGCACTGCAGTGGCAAAGAGGGGTAGTTGCTCCATGTTGTTTGATTGAGCGTTCTCAGCGCGTTGATATTTTTGGAAGCTGTTTTATCCCATGTCAGCTTCTTTTCTCATGCTCATATGTAAAATGGTACAAAACATTTGGAGTTGAAGGGAAAATAACGACATACATTGCATCTGGCACCTTCCCTTTTACAGCATCTGGGGATAGAGAGGCCTTGGGGTTCGCATTGTTGACTTTGTAGCCGTTGGAGGAGAGCAGGCTGCCTGCGTAGCCGTGGGGTATGAGGGAGAAGACGTAGTAGGCCGGGATGGCGAGGAGGGGGTAGTTGAGGCTGTTGGAAGGCATTTTTTTAATGCAATTGGCTTGGTGATTATTTGGTAGTTGGTATAGTTGAGTCTCTCTTGTAAGGGAAAAGAGAAGAATTGTTGTGTTTGAATGTTGCAGGATCGTCATGGACTCGTTAATGCTAGGATGTGAGGATTGACGTAGTCATGAGCTAGCCTTGTCAATATGACGCCAACGTTTCTGAACTACTAGGATCACAATCCTTTCCTGCGCCGGGAAACACTAGATTCATTTGAGAACGCATGTATCGACTAATAGCAACATCTATTCCCATCATCAAGTCTATCAAATCATGCAACCCTTGCAACACCCATAATATCCTCTTCCAGATGCAACGCCTGGAACTGCGTAAGCACCTCTGGCAACTTGGGCCTATTTCCATCAACAGCAGTATCCGTCCTCTCCTTTGCCGCAACGCCAATCATGAATTTTTCATCAAAAGCCTGAATCTCCACACGCGTATCGTCCAACCTCTTACTCTCATCTTTCTTCATACCCTTTACACCCGCAGGTCCCTTGCCATCAGCCTTCATCGTGAACCAAACCTCTGCATCGCTGATGCGTTCGCCCCATGTTCCATGTGTGCTACAGCGCGCAGGAGTCCCAGCACGGGGCGCACGCACGTTCTTGAATTCCAGCCGGGGGATCCACTGTGCGAGGAGAGCTTCGCCGTCCAGCTTGATGTAAGCCTCCTTGTAGCACCAAAACGTGTAGAAGCGGCGTAGCTTTGCATCAATCAGCAGCTCTGAATCAAATACCCGCTTCTCTCCATTCGGGAGCGTGATGCTGAGTTGTTTGTGCCGCGCACAACATCGATCGTGGCGACCAATTATCTCTTGCGTGACTATTGTGCCGTCGAGAAGAGGAAAGGGATCAACGTTGTACTTGAGATCGAACAATTCCTCTTGGCTATAGATTTCGGCGTACATGTCTATCCAGCCGTCGAATCCCTCCTTGTCTATAACGCGGTATTCGTCTCTTTCGTTGACACAGACGATATCTACGCCTACTTCTGCATCTAGCTCGTCTGTCTTGCACCCAACCAAGGCCACTAGGCCTGCTTGGTGCGAGATGTTGAACTCAAGAGGTGCCGGGCCATGCTGTGGCGGAGGTAACAGCGCAATAGGCTTTCCATGCTTGGGATCCCGTTTGCGACCGAAGCGAATGTCTTTCCACGGGATCCCCAGCATCTTGTGGACGAACAGACGCTTGAGCAGTGCCGAGCCGAGGCTCATACGAGCATCAGCTATGTGGTACTTCCGCGTAATATTCTCGCGCTCCTCAAGGCTGACTAGTGAAAGTGCTTCTCGGGCCTAGGATAACAATTAATTCTGTGTCAGTGGAAGCCGGGGAGATGTAGACCAACAGCTTCGGAGTCCGTAATCTTGGTACCGGGCCATATTGACCGAGTATCCAGGAGCCAGCAAGTGAAACTGCTCCCTACTGTTCCGTTGTCGTCTTGGTCGGCCATTGCGCTTCAGGCGAAGCAATAATGGCAGTAACAAGACAGCTAGTCGAGCAAGCGATATAGTAGTCTGGATGGACGGGACGATTCCGAGCTGCGGACCCCACTTGGCGGGCTCTTCGGCTTATTTGAGTGTTTCGGCGCCCGACACAATGGCTTCGAGATTTAGTAATGCGTCATATTCGGAGTTTCTATATCATGATTGTTCCTTCACGGCATCAGCGGGGTTCCCGAGAGTCGAGGTCGATGATCCAGATAATGACGATCGGAGAAGCGATCCGGCTAGGGCTGAGATGAGATGGGTGACATACCTAGACTGCGGCTTTTAGTGGGGAACATTTGGGGTTTATCGATAAAGGTTTTGTCGCATTTCCCGTCACTTTCCGTCTGTGTGACTCCCATGTCATTCCATGCCGTAATCTCGTAGATATATTTTTCTTTCCTTTGTTTTCTCTGGTTACGGAGTTGATCGGTGTCTCAAAGATTCAACATGACGGTTACGAATAGCGAACAGAAAGTCACGGTTGGCGTGCTTGCCCTCCAAGGCGCTTTCAGCGAACACATTCAACTCTTGCGCTCCGCGGCTTCTAATATCGCCTCCGCACCACCATTCCAGTTCATCCAAGTGCGCACTCCGGAGCAACTCGAGCAATGCGATGGCCTCATCATTCCTGGTGGCGAGAGCACAACCATGTCCCTCGTAGCTGCACGAAGCAACCTCCTTGAGCCCCTGCGTGACTTCGTCAAGGTTCAGCGCAAACCGACGTGGGGTACATGCGCCGGTCTCATATTGCTTGCAGAGAGCGCCAACCGGACAAAGAAGGGCGGGCAAGAATTGATCGGAGGTCTGGATGTGAGAGTGAACAGGAATCATTTTGGAAGGCAACAAGAAAGTTTCCAAGCCAATCTCAACCTGCCGTTCCTGGACGCCACAAGCGACACTGGCAAGAGCGATCCGTATCGATGTGTCTTTATACGCGCGCCTGTAGTCGAAAAGGTGTTGCCCACATCCAAAGCGGTTGGCATTCAGAAGGGTGAGAGTGAGAGGGAGGATACCGTCGTTGCGCCGAGTAAGACACCAGTCGATGATCTGGCAAAGAGGGAACTGGATCGGGAAGTCGAGATCATGGCCACATTGTCCACGAATGCGAAGCCATTACAAGACAACCAGGAGCACAATCACACGGGTGCAGAGGACATAATCGCCGTTCGCCAGGGCAATGTCTTTGGATGTAGTTTCCACCCAGAGCTGACTGACGACTCGCGCATACATGTGTGGTGGTTGGGCGAAGTCCTCAAGGCGGTAGAAAGAAGAGAGCAGTTCGAACTGGCGGACCGGACAAAGTGAGCTACGCATCCTATGAAAGAGTACTCAAGACTTGTATTTGTAGACCACATTACTATAAATCGCCCGAGCGGCAGGCGTTTTGAAGACGGCGGTGAATTTCAAAAGGTATCTGATATTCGGTTCCCTTGCTCTCATACGCATGTCTAGGAATACAAAACTAATCACTGATGTCGAAGATGGATGCCAAATTCTTCCAGTGCCATGCGTCAAACTCCGTCAAAGTGGAATGTGCAAATTCATTCCTGGGATCGATGATCCTGCTCGTTGTCTCCGTTCTGAGGAATAGCGAATTGAACCGTATGTCTTTTGCGCTAGTATAGCATCTCAAGACTCTGAGCCGAGATCTACTTCTCATCATTTCTGCCGCGGTCGCTATTAGAAACCCTCCATGTCGAGCCCGCGTCTCCGGATGGTTCCCTGTTGCTGCTGACATGCTGCTGCGCGATCGTGGAATCCTCAACACTGCTCTACTGCGCCTCATGGTATTCGTCCACCGCCCTTCCGTAACCACCGCGTCCAGGGTCATACTCGGCTCGGTACTCATCGCGCACCTGTCCACCACTCTTTCCACGGCCATACTGCCGTCCCTCGGTAAAACCCTCGTCCAGATCTGTCCTGATAACGCGCTCATCCAACTTGGTACCACCAATATACTTCATGCAGTCGAGCGCATCCTGATGTGTGTAGTACTCAACAAAGCAGAATCCGCAGGGTGTCTTTTGGAAACGATCGAGGCCCATTACTAGTCGCTTGATCTCGCCGCATTTTGAGAAGAGCTCGTGGATCTGCTCTTCGGTGGTGTAGAAGGAGAGATTGCCTACGTAGAGCGTGGTTGCATCTTTGAGTTTGTCTTCAGGCGAGGGCGAGCGGGCGCGGTCGTCGTCGCGTGTGTTACGGTCGCGTCTGCGTTTCTAAGAATTATTAGTACATGCGATATGGGTTGGAGCGCAAGGCTTATGAGTACCTTTGCTGTCGCATATGAGCTTGGTTTGTCGAGGCGATCGATTGTGCTTCGAAGCGCAGGCATGATGACGATTTGTTACACACGTGAAGGAATGTGTTCTAGATGCGACCGTATTCAGGCCACTCAAGCGCTATTACAAAGTTTGGTGTTGGAGTGATTATCGAGATCCAAGGTTGAGAGCTAGCTTGCAGCTGCCCCAGACGCGTCGGCCTTGGCGCGCTCTCTCAAAGCTGGAACTTTTGTTTGCTCATAGATTCCCCAACCTCCAAACAATCAAATTCACACCACTATCACCGGTGGATATCCAAACTTTCCGGCCTTACCGGGATAGTCTTCGCGATGCCCAAAATACTTGGCTACACCCCAGACTGGCTCAGCCGCCCGAATCCAGGCTATCACCTGTTTGCGCCGAAACACACGGACGGTAACGGAGTCGTAGCGAGAAGGCCGGAGCCAGGATCGCAAAGGACGATTGCGACAAGAGGCTCGGAGATATTTGTTGCGGTTGGAAATGAGATACGTTGGGCGGACCTGGTCAACTTGAAAGAAGAAGCGCAGCCCGCATACCGAACCCTCAGAGTCTCGATACCACTACCTATTACGCGTCTTACCATCTCCCCCGAAGAGGATTATCTCGCAGTTTCGACATCGCATACCGTCCATGTGATCCATCTCCCCGACCCGTCATTGCTCGAAGGCGGTGAAGAGGGCCCTTTGAAGCCAAAGACTTTCCAGCTAGGACCGACCGTACACGTTCTCGAAGAGTCCCCAGTCGCGACAGTGCTATGGCACCCTTTAGGATATCATGGGCGTTGCTTGGTCACAATCACAAAAGCGGGTGTGGTGCGGCTTTGGGAGATCAATCACGCGGATAGGTCGACATTCAGCGAACCTGCGCTGTCAATTGATCTGCCTAAGCTGGCGAATGCGACAAGTGATCAGGATGATCTTAGCGCATCCAAGTTTGGAGCCTCCAAGGGCTTCTCCCCCGACTCTGTCGAGCTGGAAGTTGCGTCTGCGTGCTTTGGCGACTTCCCAGAGCAAGAGGGTGTCCACGGGTGGGCGCCAATGACGCTCTGGATCGCCACTGTATCTGGTGATGTGTATGCGCTCTGCCCGCTGCTACCGAGCAAGTGGCAATTGGTCGAGTCACCCGGCAGCTACACCTTTCTGGAGACCCTCACCTCATCAATCAATATCAATTACACTGAGACGTCCGAAGACGAAACAGTACCCAAAGACGAGCTGAAGACGGCGGAGAAGCAAGTTTCGTGGCTGTCAGATATTCTGTACGAGGAGCCTTTCATAGAAGAGCGACAACAAGGAGACACAGTCAAGGTCTTTGCCCGTCCGACAAGCGCTCCTGCAGTACCACTTCTCCAGGGACCGTTCACCATGACACCAGAGGTGGACGATTTCGAGCTCAGTGACATGATTGTCTTCTCGCTCAAGACTTTGTCGGAGAGCGAAGACGAAGAGACAGCAGCCGAGGGTTTGCCAACAGCTGTAGTATGCCTGCTCACTGACACGAGCATGGTTCATGTATGCTTGGATTTGCAGGGCATCGTTGGACGCTGGCTACCATCACCGGAAGATGAGATTGATGTGACAGAAAGACACGAGCATGAGTTGCTTATAGTGGAAACAATTGCTCTGGTTAAGGATGAGGTATCATCGTTCAACCAGAGCATCACGCCCGATGTACATACCGACTTTTCATTTTTCGTTTCGCACGCCAGCGGCGTCTTCTACATCTCATTGGAGCCTTGGATCCGAAAGGTCGAGGTCGAGTTATCCCAATCCCAAACACAGGGCTCGGCCTTCCGTCTCAAGCGAGTGCTAGAGTCAGCAAACACGTCCGTGGACCAGTGTCTGCAACGACGCATTACTGGTAATGTAGCAGACCAAGAAGTCACAGCAGCAGTCGTCATTGAGGATGGAAACGTCGGTTACCTTCTCCTTACTAGCGTCAATGGCGAGCCCCAAGCTGCCCTCCTTGATGCGCCAGAAGACGGACTGCCTACTCAGGAAGAGCTTGCCGAGTATATGGCAATTGCCGGACCTCACAAAGAAGTTCGTGAGGCATGGCAACCGCCAAAGGAGCTTTACGATTCATTCGACCTGTTCAAATCCATTCACATCCCCGCACGACACCGAGGAACTCTTCAGGATGAGATCAGGCTGTCTCCTGCGAATCTCTCGCTGCTTATGGATGTCCACCGAGCACTTTCGGCGCAGACTTCAAAGTTGCAGCACGCAGTCTCAGATCTGTTCAACAGGGCGACCCGATTGCAGGAAGAGTTCCGAGACCAGATTTACAGGACATCGGAAATTGCGGCAAACATTGAAGATGTGACGTACAACGGTCAAGCAAGCTCAGTCGACGGATCAAACTACGAAAGTCTCAAGATTGATGATCGAATGGAGAGAGTCAAGGAACGACAGGAGCAGATTAACGCACGCTACGAGGCGCTCCGACGAAAGATGGTCAACATTGGTTCTAGTCAGTTGAGCGAGAAGGAAAGCAGCTGGATTGAAGAGCTACAGACAATGGAAAGCGCTGTGGATCCTTCGAGCAAAACTCTGACTGATGACGTTGACGGCAGCGAGCGGCCGGCGTGGCAGCGTCTGGAAAGGATCAAGCAAGTGCACCAAGAGCAAGCACGACAGATTGAAGAGGCGACCAAGTCGGCGAAACGGGGTGAGATTGAGGGAGTAAGGAGTAATGGTGTAAAGATAGCGAGCTACTCGAGAAAGGCGGAAAACGAGCAGGTGCAGGAGCTGATACAACGGAACAATGTGTTAGTTGAAGCTGCTACGGATAGGCTGAGGAGGTTGGGGGTGAATGTGCCAGTGGAGGCTGGGAGTTAAGGCAGATGAAGTAACTGTGTATATGGAGCAGGGCTGGAACGGGCTTGTTGGAAACAGATTGGTTAGGTAGCCGTGGGATAGACGCAATATGGTCTTTTTGTCCAGACATGGTGTTTTGTAGCAATGAGTACGAAGTCACGTTGTTGTGGGGAAACACTTTATCATTTCGTATCTTGGATATCATAAGTAACGTTAGATAGAATAGCGAAAGAAAAAAAATTAAGTGCATACTATATTGTGGTGACTTACCACCAAGCTTCCTGTTTCTGCACTTTGGTTATCCTGACAGCACGGCGCTTACTAAATAAGTGTTAGCGCCTTTCAGCTGTGGGGTGTATGTATGGCTTAGAGAGTGGTGATCTCAAAATACCTACAAAGGCCAGGTTAGGTGCGGCTCAAAAGTTCTGTTAACTATGTTGCCAACCAACCACATTCAATTTTAGGCAGTAAGAATACATAAAATTCCTCTCATTGTGTAGCAAAGAGCTATACACTATATAGCAAAGAAGAATGAACAAGTTACTTGCCGCTTGAGAAATGATAAAAACTTTCTCACTGCTCAAAAAAAAAGTGAATAGCTGCCGAAAGTCGCTCGATCCCGTGTTTTGTCGTAGCAAACAAAAAGCTTTCCTTTATCGCTGAGCACCTGGAAGAACAATCTTACCCGCTCGGACCCTTCTCATAGACTCACGCTGCTGATGTCGAAGTACGTAATGGACAGCCTGAGGAATATCCGCAGGCTCTTTGCCTGCAGGTGGGCAGATATATTTCCGCACCAAGATTCTGTTCATTTCATGAACAAGCCTAAATGTTGACATGTTAGAGCCTGGTGTGCGAAGATGGTCCTCAAAAACCGTGCACATTGCTGGGCTCATGTGATTTGTGGTACCGACACCCCAACCGCAAGCTCCTATCAGTTCCTTCCGCGCTTCAAGGTGGTTCGCGTCGTCGGTAGAGTTGTTCTTACGATCCGCGTTATTGTCCCGTCCATCCGCTGAGTCGTTATCTTCATTGTGGATGTCTTCACTGTCACTGCCATCATCTTGATCATCCTCGTCCTCCGTAGATGTCACTGCAGCCAATCCGGCGTTACAGCAGTCAAGAATGACTAGCGTGTCACACTCTGCCATCATAATATCTCCGCTAATATCCGTCCAGCAGATTTGAGCGATGGGTTGGTATGGGTCGCTTTTGTGCCGTTAGCGTATGTCGTCAATTTGGTATTTAACTTCTTCTAATTAGGGACATACTTTCTGTCTCGGAGATAGCCATTGACGTCATTGGGAATCATATTGTTCTTGAATAGGTTAAGCATAGTGCTCCAAAGCTCGTGCGTACTCTCAGGGTAATTATGACTAGGATATTCGGGTTAATATACATGATAAAAATAAAGTTTTCAGGATTCAGATCCTACCTGTGGAGCGCAAATCTGTTCCTTTCGGCAAGTCCACCATGACCATGGTAATAAATTATGAGCAAAGTCTCGTTGTTTCCCTTCTTCAAAAACTTATCAAGTGCAACCTGAAGTTTTTCCAAGGACTCTGTCATCTGGATTTCATACACTGTAACTGTATAATCCAGAGATACAAATGCTGCCCAGACATCTCCGGTTTCCCTCCTTAAATCTAGATCAGTATATTTGAAAGTGAGCAGGAGAACTTCAACTGTCCGATATGGGTTCCGGGCTTGTTCTTGACCTGTTATCGAACCGGCGACAGAGCGTTCCCCGGAAGAAGAATCTGAACTGCCGACACCAATTTCCACGGAAGAATCATCTTGAGGGAGATAGTCTTCTGTATCTCTGATTTCCGACGTCTCCTGTTGGTTCGCTCTCTCCTCTGAATCTTCCATCTCAGCATTTTCGGTAAGGCTTCCGGTATTTGTTTCCTCGACTCTCCCTTGGGTTGTCTCAGATTTCCGTTCTGATGTGCTGGGTACAGATTGTGACATTTTCAAGTTGCTGATCCTCGCAAAAGACGAAAATGGAGTTTTAGAGAAGGATAGAATTGACAGTGAGAAGAGCAACGAAATTAGCAAGCGCATTCATATATCCATTGAAGGATAAGACAACATCAAGTTTTGATACAGGCCTACCTTATCTAAACTAATAAAGCAACCTGCTCTTATTGGCCTCGACTTGTGAACATGCAATGCTGCTGTTACGTGGCAGATGGTCATTAGGCTACAGCATT